GATTAACTGGCTAGAAATACTTAGGAAAAGGACTACGTGAACGAAGACACGCTCCATGACTTAGAGAATAAAAAAATGAGGAGTATATTTTTAAATACTTTACATGTGTGCTAAGGAAACACATCAAGCCAATCACTATTGCATCTAATGTTGTTATAATTGATACTATTTTGCATCAGAAATGTAGTGCCGTCCCGTGACATAGTTATTTACTTTTCGCCAAAATAAGGGTAGTTCAAGCAAATAATGTCCCAAGATCTTGAAACTTAAGTCGTGAATCCTCGATATCTACTCGATACTTGAGGGTCGAGTTGATTTCGACCCGGAGTGGAACTTAAGCCACAACTTATCCTTTGCTTTGCACTTAAAAGAACATCTAATATCTATCGACGTTCCTTTCAACTTCTCCTACTTTTAATATGAAGCAAGAAAATTAAAATTACAATTGCTATACATTCCTATTAAGATAAGTAAGTAAACATTTTAATTGGCGACCACATAATATAAACAAAATTTAAAAAGCTGCATTGAAGCAATAAACTGTTATTTTCCTCTTTGGTTTTCCTACTTGAGGTTTGGGACTAACTGTGAAAAACTTGATGACAGAAGGCATATTGTTTGTTTCATTCCTTTTCTATGTAACGATAGCGATAAAAGTAAAGGCAGCGATCATCTTTAGTATTTGACATATTGACACAATTTCTCAGTATAAGCTTCGCTAAAAATACCACTATTTTTATCGAGGATATCCTCCAGCTGGTTAGCTGACGTTAAAATAATGAAGTCAATGAAAGCTTTTTTTTTGCCTTTGCTTCTTTCTTTTATATCATGACTTGTCCATTGTCAATTAGCTACGCGAGTAGAAGCCAGCAACTTTTATAAACTAGATTAAGGTTTAGGTATTACCAACTTGTCTACGAATAACATAATAAAAAATGTATTATGGGCGTGTTTTTGGGGATGAATATCGTAAGTAGCAGGCCGTTAAAGCAATCGGCTATATCACGGACTGATGGAACGGCTGAGGGGTAATGCGTCCAAATAGACGCCCTAGAATGCTAAACCTTTACTAAGCAGAGTAGAGGTAACATACTGATTTGTTTTCTCTATCCCCAGATGCGAAGATGGTGGAGGCGGCGCAGCGACAGGCACCGGCGGGAGGGCGGCATCGCTCCGGCTGGCCAACGGGCGCGTGGCGGCCCAGTCGGCCGAGCAGCTGCCGCACTCGCCGGCCGACTGCGCCTCCGTGCGCATCTCCATCGACAACACCAACACCTGCTGCACCGACTCGCTCGTCACCGCCCTCGACGACGAGACGCTGCTGTTGGGTGAGTTATATGACTGATAAATATACAAGCTAGCCTGAGACCAAGGAGTTACTAACGGTCACGTTGAAAAGAGCAGAGCGGTTGTCACACTCGCTGAGAAAGCAATTCCATCAGTAACAGCAACACCTGCTGCACTAGCTCGCTTGTCACCGCCCTCGACGACGAGACGCTGCTGTTGGGTGAGTTATACTGATACTATAGTGTAGCCACTAACAGCAGGGTTGCCCAGTCGGCCGAGCAGCTGCCGCACTCGCCGGCCGACTACGCCTCCGTGCGCATCTCCATCGACAACACCAACACCTGCTGCACCGACTCGCTCGTCACCGCCCTCGACGACGAGACGCTGCTGTTGGGTGAGTTATATTGATACTATAGTGTAGCCACTAACAGTAGGGTTGCTCAGTCGGCCGAGCAGCTGCCGCACTCGCCGGCCGACTGCGCCTCCGTGCGCATCTCCATCGACAACACCAACACCTGCTGCACCGACTCGCTCGTCACCGCCCTCGACGACGAGACGCTACTGTTAGGTGAGTTATATGACTGTTAATCTAGCCTAAGACCAAGTAGCTACTAAGGGTCACGTTGCAAAGAGTAGAGCAGTTGTCACANCTCCTCACTCCTCTTGGAGTAGTGGAGCGTTCTATGATGCACATTTTCACACCCTTCTATGTTGCACTTGATCACTTTGCAGTTATGTCCACGCGCGCGGAATCGTAAACACCGAAAACACAATCGCTTTTCTTTCGCTAAGTCCCAGCGCTGCGATGTGTTCGAGTCTCTCCACTTTGCACATCCCGCGACACTGTGTCCCGTAGCACTGCACAACACGCACTTTCTGTTTATTTCACTATTTTCACGATCACTATTTTGCCGCTCACTGTTCTGTCTTTCACTATTTCGCCGCTCACTGTTCTGGCGTTCACTATATTGCCGTTCACTTTCACTATTATGACGTTCACTATTCACTGCCTCGTACTGTTGGGCGTTGAACGTTTTGTGGTTTCTGCGATTCGCCGCCGGCTCCGAAACCCCTTCCGGCTGCGCGTACGGACCGCAGATCTCCGCTTCGTGGTTCAGGAAGCGCGCCAACTTTTCAATGTCGGCCTCGTCGGTGGGCTGTCCTGCGGCGAAGTCGTACCACCGGTACTTCATGGCAGGCGGCAGCTTCTCCATTGTTAACTTCGCTATCTCGGGGTTGAGTAGGTACCGCTGCTTCCCGATGGTCTTCAGTGTGGCGACTATGTTCGTGACCCTGCTCGCAAATATGCACAAGTCACGTGGGCTGTCGGCGAGGCGCGGCAAGCTTCTAATTTTCTCCATTTCTGCGACAGCTATGGCGTCCGGCCTCCCGAATCTTGCCTCCAAAATCTTCATCACGTCGCGTGGGTTCGAGTTGTATATCAACAAACTCTCGACGGCTTCTCTTGCTCTCGACTTGAGGCTTCTGCGCAGGCGGGTGAGGTTCTCCAAGTCCGTGAACCCGCTCTGCGTCTCGAAGTACGCGGCCTTGAATGAAAGCCACTCGTGATGCGACCCCCCGAAGTATGGCAGCTCTGCGAACATCTTGCTGTTGTTGTTGTGCTGTCCGGAGCGGGCGGCTTGCGCTATGGCGCTGGCCAGCTCCGACAGGTCCACTTGGTGGTGGAGCGGCGCGGGCGCGCCGGCTCCCGCCGGTGCCTGAGGGACTTCTATGGCTTGAGGCCTTCTATCTTCTATGTCCCCCAGCGGTGGCGGTGGCTCCGGCGCTCTGTGCGGCTCGCTGGCGATGGCTAGGGGCGGCTCGGTGGCGATGGGCATGGGCGGCACACTGGTATCCAACCAGTTGTTCACCCGTGCGTTGTGGTCCGCTTCCTCCATCACCGTGTCCACGTCCTCTTCTGAGTCGCTGTCTGCTTCCAGGGCGGCCACCTTGGCGGCCGCAAGCTTCACTTGCAGTCGCAGTAGCTCCTCCCTGGCTTCCAGTAACTTGCGGGTGCGCTTCGATTTCTTCGTCGTTGCCGTCGATCTCGGCGGCGCTGCTGGCGCCGCGGGGCGCTCGAGCCGCGTCGGCCCCTGCTCCGCAGGGGGCGGCGACTCGGGCGACGATACTGGCCGGGTCCGTAGCTCAGCCTGGCGACGCTGCTCCTGCAGCGTTGGCTCTCCGGCTCCCGTTGCCGGCTGCGGCGGCCGCTGGTCTGTCCTCAGCGGCGGCTGCGCCGGCCCCAATGTTGACAGCGGCCGCTGGGCAGCTCTTCTCTGCTGCTCAGCCAGCGGCGGCTGCGCGGATGTGTGTGGCAGGGGCGCCTGCGTGCGCTCGCCCTGCCCCGGAGCGGCGCGCTGCACTGGCACGGTGCGCTGCGACGCCGTCGTCTCCGTCTGACTAGTCCCTTGTTCGTCCGCAACGGCAGTCGACATGGTGTACTCCGATGTACTCTCCGTGGCTCCGACTCTTGAACCTCCGCTGCGCGATCTTGTCACTGGCATTTTCTGTCTTCAATTCTTCCAAAGTTTCTTCAACAACCCGACGTAATCCGGCTTCGTCAAGGACCAAAATGTGGGGTACGCCCCACGGGTTACTGGAGTTGCGCCTGGGAGTTGTTGAAGGCTCGAAGAAGAAGCGCCCGATGCAGAGATATCGCTGTCTCTCTCTCGCCGGTGTTCACGTAGCGGGGTAGCGGGGAGGGGGTGTAGTGAAATAACAACCCCTTGTTTCTTGAGTGGGCTTGTACTGGCTGCTGTTGGCTTCTAGGGACTTCTTGTTTCTTAGTTGTTACTTCGTAGCTATCTTCAAGTGGACTGTGTTTTTGGCTCGGACCGCCGCTATATTTGGGCCCACCATGCCACTCTCCACTAGTGACGCCTACGCATTAATCTAACGCCGTATCGCGTGCCTCCGTGCGACAAGGACGGAGCGAGTGCGAGCGAGACGCAATACGGTGTGAGCGAGGGCCGCTAGTGGGAGCGAGACAACAAATGCTTGCTTTTTCTCTTGAAAAGGCAATACCGTAAAGCGATTACGGCTCTATTTCCGATATGTCTGTCTCTGTCCTCCGTCGGAGGGTGAGTACCTATTTTCCTATCTTTTCTAACTACCTATTTTTCCTACCTATTTGTCCCTTTCTAAATGAAGCCAACACCAACAACAAGTTAATTTATTTTCATATCCAAATACAATACAATTTACATGTTCAAATATCAAATAACGATTAATTATACACAATTAACAAATACAAAAAATAGACACAAACAATAAACACGATATAAAGACACAAATAAAAGACAATAGAACACAGTACAAATAAAATGACTTAACACAATCTTACAAGGATGTGAAGCTCAAGAAATTGATAGCGACATACAACAGAACACTATACAATTCAAAAAAAAGACAGATAAAGATAACAATTGCCTACTTTTCTGGCCTAGCTTATCTTTATTGCACAAACAACATACATCTCTGTGTCTATTTCTAACGCTATTTCTTTATACATTGCAGGGTCTATTACAAGCTACGAAACGAATACAAAATACACTTATTCATATTTACATCTATTACGAACGTTCTGTACAAATATTGTTTGTCCACCTTTTGGGTGGACGTCCTATGCCGATTATTATTTACCTAGTGGATTTCTGTGAGGATATTTATTGCTGATATAGGCTAATAAAATGTTTTGTGTTACCTTACAGGGCTATACCAGAGTTGATCAAGCTCCTGAACGATGAAGACCAAGTAGTCGTCTCCCAAGCCGCGATGATGGTCCACCAGCTGTCCAAGAAGGAAGCCTCCCGCCACGCCATCATGAACTCGCCAGAAATGGTCGCCGCCTTGGTCCGAGCTATCTCATACAGCAACGACCTAGAGACCACCAAGGGAGCAGTGGGAACCCTGCACAACTTGTCGCACCATCGCCAGGGGTTGTTGGCTATATTCAAGAGCGGTGGAATCCCAGCTTTGGTCAAGCTGCTTAGTTCGCCAGTAGAGTCCGTTCTCTTCTACGCTATAACGACTCTCCACAACCTCCTTCTTCATCAAGACGGATCCAAGATGGCCGTGCGTTTAGCTGGAGGTCTGCAAAAGATGGTGGCTCTGCTCCAAAGGAACAATGTCAAGTTCCTGGCTATCGTGACTGATTGCCTCCAGATCCTGGCCTATGGGAACCAGGAGTCGAAGCTGATTATCCTGGCGTCTCAAGGGCCTATTGAACTCGTGCGCATCATGCGCTCTTATGACTATGAGAAGTTGCTGTGGACCACCTCTCGGGTGTTGAAGGTAAGATTTTCTGTGCCTATTATTATTCATAGACTACTTACTTATGTATAAAAAGATGTTAGAAACACAGCCTTGTATATTTTTATAATGTATAAAAATCCAGTAGTAGCCTGAAGCCAGAATCTCGTGGATTTTTTTTATTTACAATGGGGAAAGTAGTAATTAGGCCGAAGTTAGAAGCGAATAATTCTAGCCATGTGTTAATTTCATGTCAAATTTCATCTCCCCAAATAAGTCCTGTAGTTATTTAATTTTTAGCGTTAAGAGTCGCATCTCAAACTAATTTGAAAATTATAAATAACTTGAAAAAATCGAACTGCCTAAGGCGGTTCGATTTTTTCAAGTTATTTATAATTTTCAAAAGAGTCCTGTAGTTTTTGCTTAAAAAAGCAACAAACATCCATCCATCAGTATTAGTGTCATTAGAGTAATATTCTATTCATTTCTTCATTATCAAATGAATTGCAAATCTATTACATTAGCAGTTATTGATTCACTCACAGCTCACAAGTAACTGTTTTCCAAACAGCACCGTTTTAACAATTTGTTGTCTTTGCAGGTCCTCTCAGTCTGCTCTAGCAACAAACCGGCTATCGTAGAAGCGGGCGGCATGCAGGCCCTCGCGATGCACCTCGGCAACCCTAGCGGACGCCTCGTGCAGAACTGCCTCTGGACTTTGAGGAACCTTTCCGATGCTGCTACTAAGGTAAAGATGTACAGTGTGGGTTCATGGAAGAAGGCAGTAAAGGCACCTTAGAGGAATATACAAAAAATGTTTCTTTATGAGACCTTAACTTTTAGAAATATTTTTGAATGACTTCACAGATTTTGGGATATTCATATTATGTATTACCAGTCTAGAATTTTTTATTTTATGGTTTATAGTAGAAACATATTATGATTAAAAATGACCAACAGAATAACAGTAACTTGTACCCTACCTGTTCATTATCCTTTCTGATCTATTGATCATGCAATCAGATCAATTTTCAGTATGACAGTTACTCTAGAGACCTTAATATTATACTTCTAAAAAGACATTGAACTTTGCCCCTCGATAAAAAAATGTTATCACGATGTGATTGACCCGTTGCAGGTGGAAGGCTTGGAGGGCCTGCTGCAGAGCCTGGTGCAAGTCCTGGCGTCGACTGACGTGAACATCGTCACTTGCGCCGCTGGCATCCTGTCCAACTTGACTTGCAACAACCAGCGCAATAAGGTAAGAATATGTCTTTTTAAGTATTCACAGACTATAATATTTTGATTCCTTAGATTGATGGGCTGGCGTCGCCTGTACATAACTTGACAAAGAAGAACATACTGATATTCGTTATGGACAGAAAAAACAAAAAAAAAAAATTGGATAAGCTAAAGCACTGTGTTGCAGTTTGAATTTTGAAAATGAAAATTATTTATTTGCAGAATGTGGTACATTAGATGTTACATAATAATACTAAGCAGAACACATTCACCAGATTTGAACTAGCATTCAAATGTTTTATACTAATGCAATTCTATACAATGCAAATATTTGACTAACAATTTGAACTGAATTTTATTTGAAAAATAGATTTACTGTATGACCAAACAATGAAAGATGGTTTTTATCCATTGTGTCATCAAGGAACTTAATCAAATATTACAGCTCGCAAGAAAACTTCCTAATCTTATTTAAAATACATCTATCGAAGCTTAAAAAACTTATCTTGAAAAGTCACTCTTATTTAAAACGCATCTCCTATCTAACTTTAACTCCTCATCAATTTCCAGGTGACAGTCTGCCAAGCCGGCGGCGTGGACGCTCTGGTCCGTACTGTAGTCTCGGCAGGAGACCGCGAGGAGATCACCGAGCCGGCTGTGTGCGCGTTACGTCATCTTACTTCGAGACACATGGAAAGTGAGATGGCTCAGAACGCTGTGAGAGCGCACTATGGACTGCCGGTAAGTTGTATACTTTGCCATGTCTGCTATAAGTCGGCGGCGTGGACGCTTTGGTCCGCACCGTGGTCTCGGCAGGAGACCGCGAGGAGATCACCGAGCCGGCCGTTTGTGCGTTACGTCATCTCACTTCGAGACACATGGAAAGTGAGATGGCTCAGAACGCTGTGAGAGCGCACTATGGATTGCCGGTAAGTTGTATACTTTGCTATGTCTGCTATAAGTCGGCGGCGTGGACGCTCTGGTCCGCACCGTGGTCTCGGCAGGAGACCGCGAGGAGATCACCGAGCCGGCCGTTTGTGCGTTACGTCATCTCACTTCGAGACACATGGAAAGTGAGATGGCTCAGAACGCTGTGAGAGCGCACTATGGATTGCCGGTAAGTTGCATTGTTTAATTTTGTCTTTTGTTAGTGAACTTTTGTTGAATTTTGGTTCGACACAAATCTGACACTAAGGTTGATCCTCGGTTGTTATCCCACGTGATAAAAGACACAAGAATAATTTCGTTGCGGGTCCAATGACAGTTAAACTTTTCCCCCGGGACAAACTTGACCTTCATTGGTCCTGTGTAGCCAGGATCTTTAAGCTGTAGATCCTGGCTACACAGGAGTTGCAGTGGTGGGAACGAGAGGTGGGAATAGTCCCGTATCCAAGACAATCACGTTCATACCCAGATCAAAACACTTAACTTTTCCTACCTTCAACGCTGGTGTAAAATAATAAAGTTAAAGTGACGCGCGTTTAAGGAAATTCACATTCTAATAAAGCCTGACTAAATAGGTGTACCGACGACCTCATAAAGATAGCAGGAAGGCGCTAGATGCAGGCTGCGCTACGCTACCAACCTGTCAATATGGAAATTATTGGGAGGAGGCCTTTATCTTCAGCAGTGGACGTCTTGTGGCTGAAATGATGATGAACTACACTCGGCATCAAATAAATCGCACCTTCCGCGACAAGCACTTATCAAACGTATGCATCCGCACTTCCCACCAACATTGGTGCCATTTGAAAGCCTAGTTCTAAACTTCATTTCATTAAAGGAAAGGTTTTTACCCCAAAAATGTGTCTTTACAAGGATCCAGAGTCACTTCTTCAAAAAATAGGTAGTTACGCTATAGCCATTTTTTATGACTATAAAACTGTTAAGTTGGGATTAACCGCTATCCATCTGTTAAAGAGGACACGTGAGATCTTTATTTGGTTTTATAACCATAAAAATTGGTCTAATTGATCCCAGAGGTGAGCCCAAAGTGAGGTCTATTTTCAAGTCACATTTATGGTATATGTTAATCATTTATTTAGAAATGAAATGTTTTTTTCTTTAAGGATATTTATTGGGCTTTCAAATAACACCAATATTGTTAGGGTACCATAATTGTGTCAAAAGAAAATCTTTAAAGTTCGCGTCGCGGAAGGTGCGGTTTATTTGATGTTGAGTGTAGATATAACATGCAGACAGACTTCTAACATAGTTATAATCCGCAGGTGATAGTGAAGCTCCTGCAGCCGCCGTCCCGCTGGCCGCTGGTCAAGGCAGTGGTGGGCCTGGTCCGCAACCTGGCGCTCTGCTCCGCCAACTACGCGCCGCTCCGCGAGCACGGCGCCGTGCACCACCTCGTGCGGCTGCTGATGCGCGCCTTCAACGACACGCAGCGGGTAATGAGGGCTATCGTTTTTATACTTAACAGTTGGCACCCCTGGCGATTGACAGGACCTTACTCTACAGTGGCGCCATCTTGATGAGTGCAAATGCGATAGTCCTACCACTTTAGCGCTCACCAGTTGGTGCCACTGTCTTCGCTACTAGCAAGTGACAGGACCTTATTCTACAGTGGCGCTAACTGGTGAGCGCTAAAACGATAGCCCTCATTGATGGAACTAAAGTCCAAAAAATTTCGCACTGGACGCTTTCAGGACGCTACTGACTGACCAAATGACGATGAAATGATGTGCCGTCGATGGTATAGTCCGGTCGCCGAGCACGTAGAATTTCGTCCAATGACCCCAAGCTACCCATCCTTATCTCTCGCGTGCTCGGCGACCGGCTTTAGACGGTTAATGTGTGATGGTGAAGTGACGCGTGGCACTGCTGTGAGTAACTTATCATGCAACAACGACTCGCTGCAGTGTACTCGCGGTACTCCTCAGCCTCGAGTTTAGCGGGCAGCGGGGCGGGAGCGGCGGCGGCGCGGGAGCGGCAGGATCTTATGCGTAAAATCAAATAGACCGGTTCTCGAAAACAGCGGCGCGGGAGCGGGCAACGAGCGGGCAGCGCACTCCTTCTTTTGCCCACAATAAATCGAGCGTTAGGAATAAATTTGAATCGAAATAAAATTGCCGTTGTTCAAACATTTCGTTTGCGAATAAAAACAAATATCTCGACAACACAACCCCGAACACAATACTTCGCCGCTAAAGCGCCGCGCGAGCTGCCCGCTTGTTTCGAGAACGGGTCTGCGTTGCCCGCCCCGCTCCCGCGCCGCCGCCGCTCCCACCCCGCTGCCCGCTAAACTCGAGGCTGAGGCCTTAATGCAACACACCATACAAATTGCACTGCAGAAAGTTCTAACTGTGCTGCGTGGCGCAAAGGCGCTCACGTGCGGTTGATATTTACATTGTCAACCGTCGTGCGGCTATAATATTATGTATTATGCTTCAATACCTATCAATTTTAGGAGCGGGGTGAGGAGGACAAGTGAATCAAATAGGACGTTAATTTGAAAAATAAAATTCATTCTGTAATCGTGAAACTTTTCAACTCACTTATTTCTTTCTCCTTCTAGCAACGCTCATCGGTATCCGGCGGCGGCGGCCCAGGCGGCGCTTACGCAGACGGCGTACGAATGGAGGAGATTGTGGAGGGAGCCGTGGGTGCACTGCACATCCTGGCTCGAGACAGCGTCAACAAGCAGCTCATACGCCAGCAGAATGTCATACCGATATTCGTGCAGCTGCTGTTCAATGAGATTGAGAATATACAGGTAAATACATAAAAATATATTAATTGTTTCGTGGCAAGTCATGAATTTTGGAGACATAGACTAGTGTAGGGTGGGCTCCAACTTTTAGCAGGCCTGTTCATCTCCGCGAGCTTACATCGAAAACAAAACACGCACGATGGCCCACCTACAGGATACTATTCGACAAGGCCTCACATACGAGCGAACATTGACTCACGCACGCGTATTCTTGTGTATGATAGAAGGAAATAAAGAAAATGGTGTACTAAATACTGTGCAGTATTTAACTGCCTAAATAATAATAAAAACACAGAATGTACCTTTTTAAGTTGCCTCAAGACACTGAGAGGTAAATAAGTAGTTAATATTATTCATAATAAATCATGTATTTCCTCCGCCATTTTCCGCAGTTTGGCACCTCACGTCACATCATTTTACCGAACTCAGCCCTATATAGTTCCAAAATACTGAACTGTCCTATCGATGACATTGACAGCGGGGCGCCACCGTCAATACCGAATCGCTGGTTCCGATTTTTGCCATGTTGGAAACCATATAGTTGAACGATGGTAGCGCCCCCCTGTCATTGAGTTTGGTGGGACAGTTCAGCGTGGGTCATCTATAGCTTCGGCGCAGTGCCGATCACTGACGTTTGTCAACAAAATGGTGCTTGACTCTTGAGACAGGCTAAATTACACCATATTGTTAATGACATTGAGCTTACATTTTTTAAAATACCTTCGCGAAGTAAAACTTCTGTACGTAGTACTTATTATTATTCTGTGTTTTATCCACAACGAGGAAGCTCTTGGCCTGTATCTCACCTGATGGTAAGTGACGATCAGGCCGAAGGTGGAAGCGAGCTTCACCCGGAATCCTCAACCACGGAGGATTTAGTGACGAACAAATTTCGCGATCCGGGGAGAGTTCGTCAGGCCTCCCACTTGCTTGGTGACGATTTAGTGAAGGTCGCGGGAACCACCTAGATACGCAGGACAGTTCGTTGTGTGGAAGGCCTTTTCCAGCAGTTTACTAATTTTGTTTAAAACAAATTTAAAACCAGTCTAATTTTCGTTACAAAACACTAATATAATGCGCACTTTCCTGGGTATGGTTATACACGTAACATCGAACACATTTGCACAGTGATAGCACAGAGGATTATTTTCTTGTAAAATTGAAAATACTACAACCACACAAAATGATAGTGTTTTAATGTGCTGTCCTCCTTTCTATCGTATGTAGAGCGGAAATGCTAGGGTCCATGACCATTGACCATGACGTTCATTGTTTATTTCACCTGACACCTATTCTTTTGCAATTTATAAAGTACTTTTTGTAATGGCCCTTTGTTCAGCAGTGAGTGTACAGACTAAAGACACCCTGTGTATACCTATAGATTTGATTTTAATGGGCCAGCGAGATAGTTATATTTTTCTTACTATTTTATTGATTGTTTTTTCCTGTTTATAGCGCGTGGCAGCCGGAGTTCTTTGCGAGCTGGCCGTGGACAAGGAAGGCGCTGAAATGATAGAAGCAGAGGGCGCTACCGCTCCGCTGACAGAGTTGCTGCATTCGCGTAACGAAGGTAAACGAACATTATTTATTTCAGACTACATTTCTTTATTAATTATTTGAGAATTTTCATTCAAAGATACCACCGAGATATGTCCGGTTTCTGAACTTAAAATTTTAGAATAAGGCCCAGAACAGACGGTGAAACGCAATTGCAACGAAACTGCAACTGCTAGCTACTTTTGAGTTGCATCTAAGTTTCTGCTATAGCGTCCGTTGAGAGACCACACATGATGCGACCAGTTTGAAACTTTCAGTTTCAGTTTCATTCATCAGAATCATCACAAAGTTGCAGTTTCGTTGCAGTTGCGTTTCATCGTCTGTTCTGGGCCTTAGTGTACCCATTTTCTACGTAATACCATACAGAAACCAGACATTAGTAAACCAAATAACAACTTTGCATACTTATACATTTTTATGTTTCACAAACAACGTGATGATTCAAATGTCTAGCGCTGATTCAATTATGATCTGATTTACAAAAGCCTGAATTTGAGTTTTGTGAAACTTGTCAATACATCTCTTGAATCTTTCTTATTTGTTAGAAGGCAAATCCTTCTATAATCAAGCCAAAGTAATATCTTTATGTTAAACCTTTTTTAAATTTAGCGCCTTTTACATGCGGCTCACGCTTGACCGTATTTTTACTTTTTATTTTGTCTATGAGAACTCTGTCACCTTTCTACTCTCTGTATGCCTAAGATGCGCGCCTTTCATGATAAGAGGTTATCACGCCATTTTATCGATTTTGCCCATACATTTTGACAACGATAAAAGTTATCACGGCGCGCATCTTAGGCTTACTGATCTACGATCCGTACATATAATTGTTAAAATTGATCAGGATGGGCCCAGTAAACCCTAAAAGTGAAGCAGTGTAAAAAACTAGTGTAATTAAATACAGAGAACATTACAAAGTGAATGTGAACGCAATCTACAATACGGCGGGTGTCTTTTGTTTTCAAATTTTCGTCTTCAAACTGAGCAAAATCCAGGGTGTCCACATTCTGGAAAGTCAGGGAAAGTCAGGGAAAAGTCAGGGAAGCTCATAGCAGTCAGGGAAAGTCAGTGAAATAGAGGGGTCACCTGGAAAGTCAGGGAAACATTGAGATTTTGTCTACCAAAACACTGTTTGTCTCCCGAAATTTCCCTGTGATTGTAAAATGAGGGATTTAATTAATTTATGCTCTAGAAAGACCTTTGATCTTGACTATCGAAGCATTTTTTTTTCAGGTTTGGAGTGATCTACATTATGACTTTGTTTTTAGTCATAATTATATTACTCCTTTTTAGTTTTTTATCTAATGAAGTGGATTGATCTAAATTATGACACAATTTTGTTCATAATTAGATTACTTTCATATAGTTTTTTTTTTCAGGATTAGAGTGATAGATCACTCTGTTATGATTTTTTTTTGTCATAACTAGATTACTCCTTTTTGTTTTAATAGTTGTACTTTTTTGTTTCAGTAAAATGATATATTTTCTATTGTCGATGTGAAAGTGCAACTTATAACTTATGTTTATTTATATTTTTTTTTATAGAAATATATTTTTGGTGTTAGTAAATTTTGTTAGTATCAACATGTCTTACCGATATTCGGCGTGTAAAAATTATAATTACTTAGTCTGTTTTTATCATTATAAGTCAATACATCGAAGTCAAATACAAATTAATTTAAAAATATATAATGTCAAAATTTATCATTAAGAAAGTCATTTATACAATAATAGCATTTTTCAATTAATAGTTTCTTAAATTTATTCTTGAAAAGATTATTATTAAGCGATTTATAGGCCTGGGGAATCTTATTATAAATTTTGGGAGCCATGCATACTACACTATTCAGCATCAGAGTTGTCTTTGCATTATGCAAGCATAATTTGCTACCATCGCGACGATTGCGGACAACTTTGTCAGCAAGCCGCGGAAACAGGTGACAGTTTGCTCTTACAAATAGTGCTATTTCCAATAAATATAATGACGGAAGTGTAAGAATTTTATGCTTTCTAAAGTATGGAATACAACTATCGGTTGTCTGAAGGCCAAACATAGCTCGGATACATCGTTTTTGACTTTTAAACGCTATTTCTTTATCCGTTGAGTTTCCCCAAAAAATGATACCATATCTAAGGACTGATTCCACCAGTCCATAATAGGCTGTGAGCAGAGCATCAGTACTTACTACGGTGGAAAGTTTAAACAAAGCAAAAGCTGAACTACAGGTTTTTTTGCTCAGTTCCTCTATATGGTTTTTCCAATTTAGTTTTTTGTCAATTTGGATACCGAGAAATCGTGTTGTATCCACCTCACTGATTAAAATATCATTGTAGCATATTTCGATATTAGACGGAGAAAGGGATCTTTGATTAAAGTGCATAATGTGTGTTTTATTTAGATTAATTTTTAAGTTATTATTATTTAGCCAGTCAATTATCGAATTTAATGAATTGTTTATGTCATTTTTATATGATTTAATGTCATTACAATTTATAGTTATTGTACTATCGTCAGCGAATAAAGTCATGGGTTGTGCAGTAGCAATTGGTAGATCGTTTATGTATATTATAAACAAGAGAGGACCTAGTACACTGCCTTGTGGCACACCATATTTAACTAAACGTTCCGACGACAAACTTATTTCCTCAGATTTGGAGCTAGTGTTTAGTCTACATATTTCAGTTCTTTGGCGACGTTCGCTTAAATAAGATACGATTAGATCCAATACATTTCCTCTAATGCCATATGCTTCAAGCTTTCGGATTAAGATTTTGTGGTCAACATAGTCAAAAGCTTGGGTCATGTCGCAGTATAACGAGCATACCGGTGTTCTTTTATCAACGTGAGTTATTACATTTTTATAGAAGTCAAAAATTGCCATGTTTATAGTTTTATTTTTGCGAAAACCTTTCTGCTCCTGACACAAAATATCGTTTTTTTCCAAATAATTATTTATTTCATTATATAAATATTTTTCAAATATTTTGGAGAAAATCGATATTAGAGCAATAGGCCTATAATATTCCATAGATTCTCTGTCAACTTTTTTGAATAGAGGTTTGACAATAGTCACTTTAAGATCGTCGGGAAAAATACCTCTTTCTATACTAAGATTAAGGATATGACTTAGGTGTTGACATATTTCTTTATTTACTGTTTTAATAATTTTTGTTGCAATACCGTCATGACCTACGCTACTTGTGTTTTTTAGTTTTTTTATTATGTAATATATTTGTATCGGTAGGCTCGGAGCCAGAAACATGGAAGTGAGCATGTGTTTTGAGGTTAAGATAGCTTTATTATCATATCCTTGCAATGGTTTAATTCTGTCGATGAAATAATTATTAAAGGCTTCCGCTATTTGTTTAGGATTAGTTATATACTGGCTTTCAACCTTTATTTTTGAAATGGATTGTGTTGGGATATTCAAACGGGCTTTATTGATAATTTTCCATGTTGTTTTGGATTTATTGTCACTTGTTTTTATTTTATAATTATTTTGAGCTAGTTTAGTCAGAGATATAATTTTTTAAAGAGTTTAGTGTATTTTTTGTAATGTAATTTGTTCGTGCTAGAAGGTGATTTTCTATATTTCCACAATAAATTCCTTTTTTTCTTGCTACAAATTTTTAAGCCGTGTGATATCCACTTTGGTTTATTGGTTACATTTATTTTAATTCGTTTATGTGGAAAACATAAATTATAGAACAGACGATATTCTTGCAAGAAATATTTATATGCCAAGTTTGGGTCATCTGTACTGTACATTTCGGAAAAGGATAGACTTCCTATACACATTTTAAACTTTTTTATGTTGTCCCTGCTATAATCCCGTATTTCTTTATACCAATATTTTAATTTAATTACATTTTTAACTGGTAATTTTATTAATTGAGCAGTATGGTCTGACAAGCCAAATTCAAACACTTCTGTCTTACATGGTTTTCCATAGTTATGGGCAAAGTTGTCTATGCATGTATTGCTAACAAGTCTAGTAGGTTGCTTTAGAGCCAATTTAAAATTGTAATTTGACAGCAAACATTCTAAGTTCAATGTGATTCTATTATTCTTTAACATGTCAATGTTTATATCGCCAGCAATGAGTATATTATTACATTTTAAATTTAAACTATGCACTAGAAGTTTTTCCAATTTATTAAAGAATACATCAAAATTATTATTTCGGTTTGGTACCCGATATACACATATGATTGCAATTTTGTAGTCAGTTAATTCAATTGCACAACATTTAGATTACGAAGCAGTTGTGACCTAAATAAAAATTATACAAAATTATGATAAAAACAACAGGTATAACTGAAAAGGCTTATTTACACGTAAATAATTTGGATTAATATCTAACAGATAAACATTATCATAAGTGCCAAAATATTGGGCAAAATACTCAAAATTGAGTAAATAAATATTTTTCATTTTCACTTTAATTTTCATCACAAATTAATAAGTACCAAGTTAGTCTCTATTTTTCATTTAAATTCAAGCTTATGCCGCTCTGATGATTGTCCTGTTTCAATTTTAAAGAAAGCACTCATACATTCATAGCTTTTAAATCAGTGTCAACAAAAATGCTGGTATTATCAAATAACCCTTATTTCCCATACAATAAAGGCTATGACAATGTTATTTTTTCCTTTTCCCTGGAATCTACAAAACATCATGTATCTGGCACACTGCCTCAAGTTGCTTGCGTATTTAGTGCACGTTTTTTAGTCTTCATTATATTGCGGGAATGCCTCTCTGTGCTTATTCGCATTGAAACTGGACGCATAGTCCGCGCCAATAGAAACTGGAAAAAAATTCGGAAATGACGCCGAAAGACATTGACACAGAGCTGTCTGTGTCTCATGATTTTGTGTGAACTACATATATTTTAATACAAGCAAATCAATTATGAAATATCTTCAGTTCAGTTTTAGACTATGATTTTGGCACTTAAAACGTCAAAATAATTTTAAAAGAGGCTCTTCACAGCCCTTTGCCTTATTTTTTGGGACAAAACTGTTATTGCTGATGAAAAGAAACACCGGGACTAGCTCGTGGACCTGTACTATTACTT